GGCGTGGCTGTGGGAGTGGAGGTCGGCTTGGGCGTCGGCGTCGCTGTGGGAGTGGTGGTCGGCGTTGCGGTGGGTTTTGGGGTTGGGGTCGCTGTTGTCGTTGCGGTTGGATTGGGGGTCGGGGTCGGGGTGCTGGTGGCTGCACCGGCACAGACGAGGGAGGCGTGTCAAGATTTGAGTAGAAGTCGGTGTCATGCTAATCGTTGCATTCCGGCAGAGGCATACAAGTTGAACTTGGGATCAGTCCATTGCAGAACCATAGCTGTGGGATTGAGTAGTACGCATGCTTACCATTGTTAACAAGCATTCGTCTGCTCTGCTCGTTCAAGATTGACTCGAACTCCATCTGGGAAGCCTCTTTCAGGTACGGGTCAGTCATCGTCAGTCTATCTTTGTAGGCCTGCTCAAAACTAGGGAAGGGAGTATGGGTGACGACGACATCGGGCCCGACCAGGTCCAGGCAGCCAAACACTGTTCCATTGATGACCATTTGTGCCAGGGGCACAACGGTGAAGCTGCACAAAAATGGCGGTCAGTCAGTCAACCTTCGGTTCCCACACGGCATCTCAGAACAAAGAAGACATGCAAGGGCTACATGGAAGCAGCAATGAGTAAGACTAGCTAATCCTGAAAGCAGTTGAAGATTGGCAGCAGATCGGCGTCCTCTTGCAAAAGAAGGACTCGGGACTCTTCATAGAAACGATCGCATGCCTCTCACCTGCTGTACAAGTATGGAACAGCCTTCAGCACCTCCCAGGTCAGGGCCGCTCCATGCTTGAGGGATGTGTGGTGAAGGAAGAGGGGTGCTCCCCGGACGTCATGCTGGACCATGGTGTGCCCGCAGAAGGAGCCGTCCTTGAGGGAGCCAGTGGATGCAACGGGGGTCTCAACCATGTGAAACGAGGTGCCAGTGGCCAGGAAGGCTAGGCGGAAGGCCTCCTTATCTCCATTTACCATCTGCTGGAATGATGAGTCCTTGGCAAGGAAGAATGCCAGGTTAAGGGCAGCCCAAGCCTTCTTCTTGCTGATGACCATCTGGCCAGACTCCTGCTCCCAGCCCTGGGGAGCGACCCCCAGGATGGGCCAGATGGGATTCTCGGTCGCCGTCTGCCAGAAGTCAGGCCAGAAGAGGGCCCCTGTCTTCTGGTATTCAGCGGAGTCGAACAGGGTGGTGGGGTTGGACATGGGGACGTTGTCCGCATCCAGGAAGATCACTTCTTCAAAGTCGGAGTTGATGATAGCAAGAGGCTTAACCTGTGTAAAAGGATTGACATTGAGTTACTGTTGTCAATCCAGGCTTGAGGCCCTAAGGATTCAGAAGATAGTTTTGTGAAATCAACCTAGCTTTTTTGAAAGTGGCATTTCTCCTGAGGAAGGAAGGATTGTAATGAAGCCCCAGCAGGCCAGAAGGAGATTCGAGTCTACACCATTGTTGAAACCAGGCATTTCTTTCGAGGAAAGAAGGAATAGCTCGAGTCACTAACAATTAAATGAAGACTTGAGACTGCAGATGTGAGGCTACCCTCGAAGATGCTCTGCATGGTTTCCAAGGTAAAGGACTTTAGCCGAGAGACATTACTCTTTGGTCAAAAAGGGGAGCCTTTACACTGGGGCAAGCCGTCAAATCCTGTCATGGACATAAATATTGGGAAAATCATCTCGTGTGTGAAGTGGCTTTATGGAAACGAAGAACGCACATGATTGATCACAAGGGAAAGCAAGTGTGGCTAACTATGACAAGCATTGGAACCGCCCCTTTCGGCTGGAGAGACTCGCATCTCAAGGAGATGCCATCAGAAAGGAGGCCTACCTGGAAGGTGTGCTCCCCCTGGCTAGTAGTAATCGCCTGAAGGTCCCCCTCCCGGGCATAGTTGGCGACGTTCTTGATGACTAACTTGTTGGAGTAGGAGGCGGCCAGAACTTCGATGTGGGAAGTGGGGACCTCGCCAGAGTACCAAATCTGTAGAGTATCCTGAGGTCAGACATTGCAGGCAGATCTCGAAGACCTAGGGGCCCAAGAAACCAGCTAAGGCATGGGAGAGGACGCTCCGTGCGGAGCTGTCAAGAGTTGAACTCTTGTAAGGTTACACCACTGCAAAATGAGTGTGGCTAATCGACGGTTATCCATAAGCAGCCATGTGACTTGCATAATCAACTGACCCTTTATTGGCAGCTGAGACTTGCTGAAAGCTAGGGAGAGTAAGCGCTACCCAAAGAAGTGAGGGAGTTCTGTGACAGAAAATGCATCGAGATACCCAAGAAAGAGAGTTGTACCCCAGACAAAAACCAATTTGAGAGCTGCTGGAAAGATGCCAAAATTTTCCGGACAGGCGCAAGCTGCCAGCAAATTTGGGGCTGCAGTGGAGGTCGCAAATCAGTAGAGGAGTTGGGAGGGTAGGAAGAGGTGTGGGAGATCCACGTGTACATGGGAGCGGTTCGACGAGGGTTGCAAGTCATGAAAGGTACGTTTTGAGCTGGGAGAGAAAGTGGGGTTTACTCTTGTAGGGTGGGAGTGAAAAATGCTGGGGTATGCAAGTCAAGATGCAAATACTTTCAATCTTCCACAAGGGACGGGAAACTGTGCGTCACCAAGAAACTTGGAGTTCAAACCGATCGAAGCCACTGATGAAGCTGCAGGCATCGAGTGAGGACCTGACAAAGGAGCTGGAGGGGGAGCTGGTGAAGTCACACAAAGGAGAGGATGCCTCAAGCCTTGGGAGCTCAGACCGCAGGAGCCAAAACCATGCGCTGATTGGGGCGGGGGCGCAAGCCACCAAGAAGATTTGCTCTGTTCGCCATTGCAGATTCGCACTTAGATTTTGCATGATTGAGGTTTGATGCAGAAGAGCAACGTAGGAGTGTTGAGAGCTGAAATCTGTATGGCTACATTGCACAGTGAGTGCGGCTAACGATGGGCAGCCATGACCAGCCGTGTGACTGTATAATTGACTGACTTTTTATCAATGGCTGAAACTTGCTCAAAGCTAGGCAGTGCCGTGTTAGATTTACTAGATGAGAGACTGCAGAACCTTGATATTTTTCATTTGGAACTTAAGAAGTGCTTGAGAGAAGCTTGTAGGCGCCTTTATTCGCATATGTCCATGAACGTGCACTTGTAGTGATGCATTTCTATCTCATCTTCTTCTGATCTTCAATGTTGTTCAAATCTTCAATGTTCTTCTGTAAGCTGCCTGAAGAAGGCTTAGGAGCGAATCTTTGAAAGGGGTATGTGAGTTGTATAATTGAAAACAATCTGGGCAATCATCCTTACAGAAGCGAACCAGAGAGCTTGGTGGGAGACTTTATGGGTAGCAAAATTTGGTGCCATCTTCGATCTAAGGCCCTTGAGTTTGGATGCTTGAAAGTCGGACGCGTCAAGAAACAAGGCTTTCATGGACGCCAAACCGAGAATGCTGAAAACAGAGGCAGAACAGGTGACATCTTTCTGCTGGTTTGGAAAGTGCAGGCCAAGAACGGCATGTGGTAAGACAAGATACCTATGGATCCATAGTACAACCTTCGTGAGCTTTCCCGAACAGTTCTGCATCTGCACCCATATTGCTTCCTTCAGCCTGGTTTGCAGCTGCTGACTTATGGGCAGCAAGACACGCCCTAGCTATGCATCAGGCAAGAAAGAGCTGCTCATCTCCTATCTCCCATCAAATGCCTTTTTAATCCTTCTGCCTGCATTGATTGTGCAGCTAAACAAGCTAAATGATGTGCAGGTGCCCAGCTCTTCCACTCAGTCTCAGCAGGCATGCTTTGAGCGACCACAGCCTTAGAAGTTCAGGTCTTAGCTGATCAGACCAGTCCCGCAGTATACTCAAGGCTGTAAAACAGCTGTGTCATTCATATTCTCACCTCTACTGGGAGTTTGCAGCCCTCAGATTGTAAGATGTCCAGTAGCACAGGCACATTGACCAAATCCAACTTGGTGGCAGTGATGACCACACCCTTGCCAGCAAGCCGGCCTTCAGAGTATGCCGGGGTGGCGGAAACTGCGGCTCTCCACTCCGTGCTCAGCTTGCTAGCCCTCGCTGAGAGTCCACTCCACTTTGGGGAAAAAAGGCCATGGAAATTACAGTCGACGTGGGGCTCATTGGGCACACAGGAGGAGGCAACAGCACTGATGGCGCAGACAAATAGGCACACGATGAAGAGGACTGCCAGGGCCGCCATGCTGCGCGCCATTACAGTATTGTCAATGGAGATTGGAAGGGAAAGAGAGACAATATCAAAAAACAGGAGCCGGTTTTACTGTGTTCGAGGCCTTGTTTTGCAAGGGCTACAGGTTAGAACAAATCTCAGATTTTCGCATCAAGGCTGAAGCCTAATCCTCGACCTCTTTCGCACAGCAGAAGGTCAATTAATCAAGCGCGAATGGCAATGTCGCTTCGGTAGCTCGTTTTTAGAGGTGCGAATTAGCACCTTTGTGTGCAGGGCGGCAGAGCGGGCACAAAAGAAAAGAACCGTTAACCTGGCAACTGCAGACCCTTAAGAGGGCATAATTTCCTGAACACAAACTAAGGTTGCGAGTCGACCGAAAATCTACGACCCCCCACTTGAATGTTTTCAGACCACGTGGTTCAGGAAACCCTGGTTTCGGCAGTGGTTTGCAGCAAACCCTGCACATCGGTGCGCCCTATATCACCCAATTCTGCACCGAAAGGCTCGATCCAATGCAAATGGGCAATGGCCATGAGTGGTGGCAATTGCCGACAAGGCTTCTTTGAGTTGAAAAGATGCTAATTTGATAGAAATAGGCGACACAGTCACCTCAATGTTGCAAACCCCTTTTAAACCCAGATTTATGAATCGCAGGCCTCTGATTGGTTGAAAAACCTGGGATGACCTCGGAGGTTTTCGGTCGACGCGCAACCTAACACCTTATAGAGACAGGAGTAGCGCAAGAGTTGACATCCCTCTAGATATTACTGTGCAGACTATTCGACCGGGCTGACAAGGGGTTCAGCGTTACCACTTGGGATCTTCGACCCGCCCCTCGAATCTTCAAAAAGCGCCCAGAAAAGTGTGGGGAAAGCCGGGCCGATAGCACGACAGACGACGGATGAACGACTGTGATAGCACGACAAAAAGGTCACCTTGTTCTGGTCTGCGTACCGAGAACTTTTTCTGGCCGATGCTTTCGCGGTTCGTCAAACCCAGAAATCAAGCGACCAGCGCCCTCAACAACGTGGAACCCACAGCAAAGATTGCCGCGTTGCGCGGGATCCCGCAATATAAACCTATCTCAAAGTGCGAACTGCAAGACGAACGAACAAAATGTGAGTGAATGACAAAATCAGAGTGGTCCGGATCGACTGTGGCGGTACGGATATTTACGATTGAAAGGACTTTGTTTGTGAGTTTGTTTGTTGATGATTTCCAGCACCCCGGGCCGGGCTCGTGACTGTCAGACGTCGCTCACCCTGTAGTCGCTGGTACTGATGAGCAGTACTCGTCACGTAACGTTGAATGACGTCATAAATGTCGTCATAAAGCAACTTTGTGTGTACTGTCGTTCAGCGTTCGACACGGAGTTCTCCGGTCTGTCGGCTGGCCGCTGCTCGACCTTTGAACCGGTCGGCTGTATCGGCCAAACACCCAATCACTTATCACCTTCACACACACCTCACACACACACGAGCCCGGTATGAAGAGGGTCGGCAAAGCCACCAGTCCGGAGACTGACGTTTGCCTGGTCTGACTGGCCACGGGTCGTGTCGAACACTACTGTGGGTCCTGTTTTCGCCGCGTTCGGACGACCGATGACTCGGAAGCCCGGAGCCATGCGCTGCTGCCATCTGGCGAATACGTGGTCACTTTCTGATTCCGGTTGCGAAGTCGCTATACTCTGCTGCCATGTGGCAGTGGCCGACGGGCTTTGAAGTCTGACCGCCAATTGCCGTACTATCGACGCGGCGACTGCTCATGCGAGATCCCTGTGGATTGGGTTGTTACACTTGATTCTTGAGCGCGAACGAGGTCCAATCGAGGCGACCCGACTCGGAGCCCGATCAGGCTTGGATAAATGCCCTACTGGTTACTTTGCCCAAATTTGGTAGCTGCCGGAGGTGCCGAATACGGTCGATCAGTCTCGGGCAAAAGTCAGGTAGGGTTGCAAGGTGCCGGACCCGAGGGGATCGGGTTCCGTGCAACCCGATCAAGATTTCTTACAGCCTGAGGCCAGCCGGCCGGGGCTGATAGGGTCTCGGGCTGTTTTTGCAGAATCTGTGAGTGCAACAACCCTATCAGAGCAAGGGGAGTCGGCCCTTGGGCCGTCACCTTGAGTACCCGGCCGGGCCACGGTCCTGCTAACCAGGATCGATACCAAACCGTACCTAGCGAGTGGTAGGACGTTGACTTTGTCTAGTCACTATGGTTATGTTGAGGTACAGTGGTACACCCTCAGTACACCCTTCGGGATGAGCTACCTTAAGTATGCATTGGTCTTGACATGCTTATGGTGTCTCAGGCTCTGCCAATCACAATACACGGTTCAAAAGCCCCTGCCTACCGCAGTAAGTATTACCCATAGGTCAGTATTAGGTACTAGTAACGACGTGTGGGTGATCTCTGACTTGTTCTTGCCATTACAGTAGCTCTGACAGTCAGAGATCATGATTACGCGAACAAATCAAAGACACTGGTACCTATGTTCCTTACATCACTGGCCGAGGATCTGTCACTATCATTGCCTCCCTCTTTGCTGGTTTGCTCAGTTCGGAGCAGAGTGTATATCACAGGGCGGAAAACCGGTTTGCCAAGTCTTCTTGACCGGCCCTCCCCTATGCACACCAGCGCTCACTACATTGACCATCCCGTTGTCAAAAAGCGCACTTTAACTAGGTACATTTCGGGGTCCCGAACTTTCCGCTGGCTGGGGCTGGCACCGTCCGATGAGTGCCACGTATAGGGACCGAGTCCAAGTCTGTCAGAATTGCACTTGTACACTGCGGCAGTACTTTCTCCGTCGAGTGTACTCGGAAAATTCAAGGTTACAAGAATTCACCGTCGGCAGGTTTACCTAGCTGGCGGTACTAGCCGAAGGCTACCGCGCGGGCCGTACCGGGCATTATTTACAGCCTACTCAATATAGCATAGACATCCCGGGACGTAGGCAGGCTCAGCCGAGCCGATTCAGCCTAGGTTCTTGAAGTTAGTGGCTGGGCG